TAAGGCAGAAGAGTGGGGCGACACGGTTTTAAGTAGTGCAATTTGTAAATTAGTGTTTTCTAAATACTAATTACTGACGCAGACGAAGATAGCCGAATATTATTTTTAGAAAGTCGCTGGTAATAAAAGACAAAGTGTAATTTTTACTAATTTTCACTTTTCACTATTTTTTTCACAGTTTTTTCGACTAAAATTAGTAAAATAATTATTTTTGGAAAATTTTGTGTTTTATTGCTTTTTAATTGCAATATTTATCGTTTTTTGTATGAAAATTAATGGAATTCTGGCAAAAATGCATATTTCGCGATATAAAAATGCTGCATTCTGCACATGCGCACTAGAAATTACTTACAAAACTAATTTTTTCTTATTTTCTCTTTAAACAACTTTAAAATTAGTAAAATAATTATTTTTGTACTAATTTCATGTTTTATTGCTTTTTAATTGCAATATTTATTGTTTTTTGTACTAAAATTTAAGAAAAAACTGTAAAAACTATGAAAAATGCAAATTTCCCGCTATAAAAATAGTGTATTCAGCACATGCGCATTAAAAATTATATACAAAAGTTATTTTTATTAAATTTTCGCTGTTTCCAACGTTATTTTCAACTAAAATGAGTAAAATAATTATTATTTGCAATAATTTCATGTCCTACTACTTTTTAAACACAATATTTACCGTAATTTTCATAAAAATACAAAAAACTTTCAAAAAATTCAAATTTCCCGCTTTAAACTTACTACTCTTCACGCATACGCAGTAGAAATGACTTTTAACATGTGCAGCGCGCGAAATTCAAACACAATACACACCTAACCAAACATAACATATTTTCCACATTGGTAATCACTCCGCATTGTAATATCATAAGATTTAGTTGATTTTATGCCCAAGATTGAATGTTGCATGCCTTGCTGATTTGCTCGCAGCAAAATGTAAACTTTCACACAAGGAAAACGAGTTTGCTGGAATTTTTATGTAATCAGTTTATACATGTGTGCCGTTTCGACATGTGTTCACTACTCCGCTTACATACGTATAGTACAGTGCCCGTTGTGCAAAACACACACTGCACACAAGTACACTCTGCGCGATTATTTGCTTATTTATTACAACAAACTATTTCTGCGCCTGCGACTCGGCATTATTTGCACAAAAACTTGTAACAACACCACACGGACAATTTATATAAATGCCAATTAGCGATCAACTACAATATAATTTATTAAATTTTTCAAACATGTTTTTCAATCAAATAGTAAATTGAAATGTAATGTAATATAACCAACAGATTGATCTATGATGATGTTTAAATGTTTAGGAAAGCGTGACTCCGGACACACTGTACATCCGCGTAACCCAAATGTGTGTATCTAAATCTATATCTATGCTATATGAGCGTTTGTGTTCGTAAAATGCGCGGCTTAAACATTCGTAATAAATTTCAAACTTTTACGACTTTGTAACCAAGTCGAGCGGAACCTGTTTGTTGTAACTTATAACTCGCCGGAATAATAATAACAATTATTCTGCGCAAAAAGACACATACAGCAAAAGCCATAACGATAATAGCGCAACGTAAAACTTTAACTTAAAAGCCAACTTTTAATAAATTACATATTTATTGCTTCTCGTTATAGTTCTGGCTTCTATGTGTGTTTGTGTGTGTGTATGTAAAGAACGAATTAATTGTTTCCGCATATTCGCGATCCATCTCTCCAGCGCACGCTCGCGGCCACTGTTCAATAATTTATTGCAAATAAACTGCGTGTATGGGTGAGTGTGTTTGTTTGGGTATAGTGGATGCCAGCCATCGTGCATAATTAGTATGATTAATGATTTTTAATTAAACAATTACGAATGTTCATTATTCATCGCTCGTAAATAACGCAAACATTTAATGACCCAGCGGCTACAAACAAGCAAATGCATTATATAAATATCTATTATGTATACTTATTTTGTTAGAAATGAATTTGGGTGATTTTCCGGACGAATTTCGGTTTATAATCGGTGTTTTTGGGGGTTATTTAGACTGAATGTATGTTTGTTCCTTAATAACTCGAAAACCTCTGGATGAATTTTGATGAAATTTTTAGAAATTATTTAGATTGGTATAGTAAGTAATAATGTGAAGTTTGGTGGAGAATTTTAGGGGTGTTAAATAAGGGATGAAAGTATTTTTGCTTTAAATTTTCACTTTTCACGACTTTTTCTTAGAGTAAAATTAGTAAAATAATTATTTTTACTATAATTTCATGTTTTGCAACCTTTTTCTTCGCAATATTTATCGTAAATTGTTTAAAAATCGCAATAAAAAATTTAAAAATTGAAATTTCCCGCTTTAAACACCTGTATTCTACACATGAATACTGGAAAAGTTGATCAAAAGCTAAAAATAGCATTATAATGCATTTATATGCACAAAATCCTCAAAAAACAAATTTTTCCTCAAAATTTAACCTCAAATATTTAAAATATTAAAATTCTGTTATTTTTTTTGGTTAAATTTTGATGCTATGCGATATGCAACAGATGCTGCGGTGGTTTTGAAAAAGGGGTTGATAGTTGATACAGTGAAAAGAAGAGAGGTACCACTTCTCAACCTGTCCTCTCCTCCCGAGCGCGCCGACCTGTTGGGTGCATTGCCCATCTGCGATCGGCCGGACGGGTGGTCCGATCCGGTCCGTCGACGTCGGGGGACATTTCACTCTCGAGCGGCCGCCGCCGCGGCATTCCGATGCGCTCTGCCTGCCCAACTGAACCAGTGCCCAGGTTGTGGTGCGTGCGCGCATGGTATTAACCATGCATGAAAGTGTACCTAATGGGTTTGCGGCGGCGATGCTGCACCGAAAACCGCACGCACTCTCCGAAAAAGCACCGAATTGGACTTTTTGCGGCCGGACATGTGTTGTTTACAAAATATTGCACATGATTTAACGCGGAACGTGCGTGCGTAGGTAAATTAAAAGCCGTGAATTATTGATTTGAAATGTTTTGTAAAAATCGTCATAACTCCGAAACTATTTAAAATTTTAAGATGATTTTTTTATGAAATGATAGTCTATTAAATAGACTAACATTTAAACATTTAATATAAGCATATAATTTTATTAATTGGCTATAAATTGATAAAGATATCCAATATCAAAATTAAACTCAGTTGATTTATTTAACTGTTGTTGTTAAAACCGTTATAACTATATAAATACAAAGTGTAGATTATTGATCAAAGCATCATTAGAAAGGAAATTAATTACTGATACAACCTACCAAAAAGCAATCTTGTAATCATTATAGTTTTTGTGTATAACGTGCAAGAGTAACAATTTTCAATTGCACTGCATGTAATGTTTAAATCGTCCGTAACTACGTAACTAAATGAGATAGAAATATGCTGTTTGTGGTTAATGATAGACCTAAACATGGACTATAAGATGAGGTCAAGAAGAATTAACATAAAATGATTCATTAACCAGAATTTAATTAAAAATGATTGAAAACTGTTGTTGGTTTTAGATTTACAGTCGTCAATCTTTACGACGTGAAAACTCAGCTATTTAACAACCGAAAATATTTATTGAATAACCATTAAAAAGCGGATTTAAAATGGAAATAAAAATGGCAAGAGAAAATTTTGTGATTTTTGTTGTTTTTGCTTCAGGAGGAAAAAAGTAAAAGTTTGTGATTTTTTTCTAATCAGAGAAAAACGTCGATAACTCGGAATCTAAAAGAGATAAAACTGTTACTTTTGTTGATAACCGTTGATTATAACCAAGACTATAAGATGGACTTTAAACAAATTTGAAAAACATTAACAATTAGCAACAATTAACCAAAAACTAAATTTTTATTTCTTTTCATACTAATTTTGCATGATTTTAACTTCAAAAGTCAAATATCTCCTAACTAAAACATAATACCACCTCACTTCTCATTAAACAACAAAAAAGAAACTCTGAACAAAAATGAAACCACATTTATAGAAACAGCCATAAATTCCTCCAAAGTTTATAGCTTGGTAAAGTATCGGCGCGATATTAAAATGAAACATGACGTTTTTATAGCGTTCCAATAATATTCCGTTTCAAAGTTAAGTGCATCAGGCACATACATACAGTCTGTACGCGCATCCCGTACGCAACTCTCCACACACAACCACATAACCGCACACAACGCATGCGCACGACACTCGGTGTCTCTCCTGCGCGGAGCGCCTAGATCATGTACACTATAATGTTCCCCAGCATAAACGTATGTTGTGACACTCAATAAAAATCCAAATTGAATTCAAATTTAAACATGAAACATGTACGCACGCCACCGACTCAACGAAATGCAAATGGATGGAAATGGAAAATGTAAATCTGATATATTCTAAATTCAAATATGTACAAATTTGCATCGAAATAATGCGATGCGATTAAAACTTCCGAAGCCACAGCGGAACTTTTTCCAAGTTAAAAAAAAATATTTCCAAAACCCCGTAGAAAACAATAGCACAGCTGGGTTTATTAATGATTATTAACTTCCTTGGTGCTTTTGTTATCTACATATATACAAAAAGCAATTAAATTTTCGACTTTCCGAGCACTTTTATACATGATAATTCATTGTGTGCGATAGGAAGTAGAAATAAAAATACGCCGAGGAATTGTTAAGTTAAACAAGTGTAGTTTGGAGTCTTTACATGCGGGCCAACGCGTAGCATCTTGATAACGCGCAAGATAAGAGCGCAAAGGTCGAAAACATTTCAACAGCATAAATTTAAGTAAAAGCATTGGGACTTATCTATGCCTAAACAAACACACGCATACATAAACTATAATAAATTCCAATCTTTTTGTGTTACTTAAGTAATAGGGTCATGCGCAGAAGGAACAGATGCTGCGATGCATCTTCTCATACGCGACTCAACTCAAAACCGGTTTTTTAAAGCTTATTCTTAAACCCTATTAATAGTTTGATGAGACACGTGAGAAGAAAATGATTTTTACCTTGTATAAATACTGATCAAACATCCTGCAAACATCTACATCACTGCCGACGCAATAGGTTGCCTCCATAGTATCAGACGTAGAGTTGAGGGTGTTGATCGACGCCACGATGGGCCGTAAATGTTCCAGCGTGTTGGCTTGGCGTGGGACAGCGTAGATCGAGAAAAAAGGATAAACCAAACTCTGGCGGCGGTGGTGGTGGTGGTGGTGGCGGCGCGTGGAGACGCCGGCGGGTTGCTGGCGACACCACCAAAATTATTTCTCCGTGCTGCTAGCGGTAATCCACAGGACACACTGGGTACAAAGTCACGATTTAATAATATATATCTATCTATATATCAATAGGGAACTCGCGCGCGCGCCGAGATTGAAATCGAATTGTAGTACTCGTATACTAATTCCGCGCGGTAAGGTCCGGTCGCGTGGTTGCTTGGAGCATGTTTCCGGGCTCGGGCTGTGCTGCTGCTGTACGCTGGTACGCTGCGCGACGGGACACACGGTGCTGGCACGAGAGCGGCGCGTAACGAAATAGCGGCGCGCGGCGCGATCGCGCGCGACCCCTCCCGAGGGGCCCCCCTTCCCCCCCCTGCCGCGCCACCAGGCTCCCTTCCTGCGCCGTGCGGACGCGAATCGCGAGCGGCCCGCGTCGATTTAAATCTCAAAAATCCATGAAAAACGAATAAATAATACCCCGCGAGGGAGGCGGCGGCACGCGGCACGCCACCACCCTTAACCCCCGCGCGGGAAGATGGGGATCGACCCGGCGCACCGCGGCACGCCGCCAGCCCAACGCTCGTCGTTGTGAATTTATTTATGTAATCGTTTTACGTAATTTAAACACGACACAAGTTTTTCGACACTAGCTCTTAATTTAAGCGCGTTTTAAACAGGTCAGCGGATTATTTCTCACGCCAAGTATTTTCTATGAGCAACACACATATTTAATAATAATTACACTTACCATCCAGTTGAAAATTTATAACTATAACGATTTGCATCGTCATTTACTGTTACAGGTTTCTGACGCGCGACGTGACTGTCAAAACAGAAGACATGCGACAGTGCTGACCTCTACGTGTTACATGTCATGTTACATTTAGTTTTTGCTGTCATTTTGATTTTAAAACTTAAATATCTCGAAAACTAGAGGTGATAGAGATTTGCTGTTTGCGGTGATTTAAAGTTAATTAATCGTAGTTTCTATTGCGACTAATATGATGTCTCTACAATAAGTATTTAGTGTCGAAAAAGTAATTTTACTTCTTAATTTTATAATTTTCTTGAAATTTTTTAGTTTTTATGAGTTTTAAACCAAAATATCTCAAAAACTCGCCGTGATAACACCAAACTACATTGATAAATAGATAATCATTAACATTTTACCTCTAAATTCGAAAACCACGTCCGTTTAGCAGGTCTACTTCAAAAGTTATAGCTGTTTTAAACATTTTTGTTATTCGCTGTGTGTTGATTGGCGTGGTAATTGATAACTAGGAATCAATGCGGTGGAATGCGCCTTGTTGGTTAATCCAAACACCGGTAGGAAAAAAGCGCCGCGATGAAATGAATAAATGAGTGAATGAACGTTTAAATAAGTGCGAACAGGCAATCGAAGCGAAAGCGAGCGTGAACTCGCGCCTGCCGCACGGCACGCCGGCGTGAGGCATGCTGCTGCCATGCCAATCGGCGTGTTCACGCCGAAAACGAACAAAAAGCCCAGCGAGCAAAAAAGCACACCGGGCATGATCTTGGCGGGCGAGAGATCGTGAAGCGCACGCCAGTGTGCCACTGTGCCGAGCGCCTCCAGCGGTGCGAATGACTGTCGTCGCCGGCACGCGACGGCTTGCCGCCTGCGCGTGCCGCGCTACCGCTACCCGTAATACATAAGCGATTTCGATAAACACGCGTCTCGTCTACCACCACCCGAACACGCCACACAAAAACCCACACATTCACACACAGTCGGAATGCGCAACAGCTGATCTAATGATCGTGATGAACACGCTTTAGTTTATTGCATAAATATTGCTAGTGTGATTGTTTTTACGATCACACACATATACTCACATGCCCAGAGGAGAGGAATTCATTCATTTTCAGGCGCGTAGTAAACGCGCGGACGCGTGCGGCGTTTCACAGCTTGTGCATGCGATGCGATAATAGCGGCGGCCGCGGCGTCGCGTCGGTTTTGTTACGACTACGACCGCCGAGCGCAGGCGGTAGTAAAAGTGGCGTGCGGTAGCATTGTGGCGTGGTCGCGCTCATTCACGACACGCTCGAAACGTTCGCAGGCGGTTCGCACGTTCGGGACATCTCATTCAGCGGCAAGCATTCGGTTCGGGGGGCTCGTAAAGCAAGTTAACCAGCACGTTTACCACTTGCCAAATTGTCACGATAATGACAGTTGTCATTTGTGACCTTGTTTTGACCTTTAAACAGGTGACAAATGTGTCAAAACATGTTAGGATAGGGAATTTATTTTGTTACTGGGTTTTATTTAGGGAAAAACTCAAGTGGATGAGGATTTTAGAGTAGAAGTGCATGTTCATTGTTTTTATTGATGTTTGGGTTGCCTACCTCAAAATATTTGCAAAACTTACAGCTGTATTATAGTATGGTAAAAATAATACTATAGGCAACTTTATTTACAGATTTCTAATAAAAACTGTAGGTTAAGAGTTTTTGCTGTGTTCATCTTTTTTTCTTTTCCCGGCGGTTTAGGTTGTGATTGTGGTAATTGTGTGGGTCCCGGACCGCACGCCGGGATCTCGAGGCGGGATAGAGACGTGCGACGCGCTCGACGCTCGACACCCGCCGCCTCCGAACGCATAAGTACGTGTCGGCACGCGCAAAGGAAGCGCCGCCACCGCTGTCGCTGCCACTGCCGCCGCCCTTGCGACCATAACCACAGCTGGGGATCTTTTGACACCTTTAGATAATACCTACAAGCTTGTTAGTAGTTAATAATTTATTTTTATTTTCGTTTTGATTTTTAAATTGTTGTTTTATAGATTGAATTGTTGAATCGTCTCCTGGCCTTGACGTGGGCATAAAGCCGCCCGATTGGGGGGCGTGGAAAATCCATTTCGTTTCAACTTGATGTTCAAATTGAATGTTTTGTGTAGCGTGCACTATGGCGGCGTGCGGCGACGTTTTAAGGATGTAGGCGCGGCGCGCGCCGTGCCCGGTTTCTGGATCTGCACGCGCGGGGACGGCCGCCGCCGCTAACACACACACACACGCTGACAAAAGTGCTCTTGATAAGCGTGATTTAGCAGCCCCGGGGATATTGATTTTTACGTGTGCCCGCGCGTGCCGCCCTGCCGCCACCGCCGCCGTCTCCGCGGTGCCTAACCCGTCCTCCCGACGTCACGTCCGCTCTCCGTCTTGGCGCTGCGCGCGGTCGTCATAGCGAATGCTAGAAACACAGCGGTGGCGGCGGCCCGTGCGGGCGCGCAGCCCGCTGCGGAAAAGATGCTTTTCATTGGCGTTGAATTTCTGCGGACGGGGGCTCACCTCACCTCCGCCAGCCGCAGGAGGGGGTGCGCGCGCGGGCTCCACCGCCGCCGGTAGGCAAATACAGCCATTATGCTCGATGTCATCGTGCCAATTGCCGTCCCAAAGACACGATAACACCTGATGAACATCCCCCTTAGCACAGTTTACACCATCGACACCCGGGCACGCGCCCTGCGGTTTCATTAATGCAAACCGCCCGCAAACAAAAATTAAAACTCGCTACTTTTCAGATACAATGTTAAAACGTTAAATGTTTGCACCACCAGCAGTGGAATGCCTGTGCGCAAACAAAAGGCATCTTATAATACAGATCACAAAAGTCCTATTACAGCTAAGATGGCTGCCGAGCATCAACAGCTATTGTTGGCATTGTTATTTTTAATTGTGCGCCGACAAGATGGCGAAACTGAATGCGGCATTAATATAACCGATAAGTTTTTCAACTGCTATTGTTCTGCTAGCGTACTTGAGACGATGTTAGATAAGAGCTCACCAGTTATGAAAACAATCAGCAAATAGGCAACCAAATATACACGAAAGATAAAAATTTACTACGCGATCGATAAAATAATTTTCTTTTCCGGCCTTTTATATAATATCGTCGTTTTAGATTTTTTTTTGGCTTCCGCCATGTCATGAAATATTCGATTCGATTTGCAGCGGCTCTGCGTCCCTGAAAGTTTTAGTTTTGGCTTAACCGCTTTCAAAGTTTACCATCGACAAGCGAAAAGCTGCAAAGAAAACATGCAAAACACGCTTTGCTCTGCGCGCGGCTCCAAAGTGGCATAAAAATTTAATTAAAAATTAAATCCAAAAATAAAACACGCTAATGAAAAGTTGACTTTTAAAGAAACAAATGATAAAAGTACCTTTAAATGAGTGGACGCAAAAGTTTTAATTTTATTTCATGTTCGCTTAAACTTTTTTGTTACCGTTTTTTTTCTCTCTCTACGCTCGCGTTTTATATATACGTTTGTGATGGTTTGGAATTTCTTATTTCGCGTTTTGTTTTTGTTGCAGCAGCGGACGAAACTTAAAAGTTTGCGTTGCTTTTATCGTGCTTTTGCTTTTTATTCTTTATTTCAGTGCACATATATCTTTCGCGATGGTTTACAAAAGTGATGTGCAGCGCGCTCCCCTATTTCGTTTCTTATCGGCGTATTATAAATTTGACGTGACGTTAATCCGGGGAACATTTTGTAGATTGGAAAAAGTTATCGAAGTACGGAAGGGTGGGAAAGTGGAAGGAACTACGTTAAATGCACACATGGTTATAATAATAATTAAATACCAATGGAATAACATATGTCTGCGTAGGTTTAGTAAAAAGTACTTTAAGTAGTTATTTTCTTATTTTTTCGGAGGTAGTATTTGATAAATTCGTCGATTAAATTCTTAATTTTAATTTAAAGAAAAGAAAAATGCTAATAATGCAGTTTAGCGCCCCCTAGATTCGAATTATGTGACTAAAACTATGATTTTGTCTCAATATCAACTTTAATCCCTTATTTTACACCCTTAAAGTTAAAATTTTACGACAAAAAGTAGTCTATTTCATTTTCCTTGGTCAAAACTATCTCTAAACCAAAATTTATCAAAATCGGTTGAGTGGTTTTTGCTTGAAAGCGCCACAAACATACAAAAACACTAAAATTCTTATTTATACCATTACTTACCATAACAAAATTTAAAAATACTTAACATTTTCCTCTTAACATTAAAATAAATATCATAAGAAGTAAATTTTACTATGCGAGTTAAATGCTTTTTTACTGCCCCAAGTCACGAGATTCGCAGATTTATTTAAATGTTTAATGAAACACAAGTTAACACCAGCGCAAAAACTACACGCACTAAACTATTAATAACACAAACATGCTGGGCTATTATGCTTTAATTTGAAATTTTAATTTTCGACGTCGGAATGGAAATAAATGAGGAATTCTTTAAAATAATAGCAAAGTTTACAAATGGGAATTTCATTATGGCTCGCGCAACGCA